CCACAGCTTCTCCTCCCACACTGCCTGCTCTGGGGCCTCCCCTGGCTTCTCTGCCTCTCCCTGGGGCCCCGCAGCTCTCCACCCCTCCCTTGGCCACTAGCAAGCCTGAGAATGGGGCTGTTGGGACTGAGACGGGTGGGGCCTGGTTCCTGGGACATAGGGTTGCCGACGGTTTCAGAAAAAATACTGAACTGAAAAAACCACAGCTTCTCCTCCCACACTGCCTGCTCTGGGGCCTCCCCTGGCTTCTCTGCCTCTCCCTGGGGCCCCGCAGCTCTCCACCCCTCCCTTGGCCACTAGCAAGCCTGAGAATGGGGCTGTTGGGACTGAGACGGGTGGGGCCTGGTTCCTGGGACATAGGGTTGCCGACGGTTTCAGAAAAAATACTGAACTGAAAAAAGAAAAAAAAGAAAAAAAGGCCCCCGAGAGTTGTTAAGCAACCCCCCCCCCCTGCCTCTCCCTGGGGCCCCGCAGCTCTCCACCCCTCCCTTGGCCACTAGCAAGCCTGAGAATGGGGCTGTTGGGACTGAGACGGGTGGGGCCTGGTTCCTGGGACATAGGGTTGCCGACGGTTTCAGAAAAAATACTGAACTGAAAAAAGAAAAAAAAGAAAAAAAGGCCCCCGAGAGTTGTTAAGCAACCCCCCCCCCCAAAAAAAAACAACATGGCCCCTTTAAAAGCGGCCGCCCGCCAGCCTGCCCCCCTGCGCCAGGCCGGACAGCTCCCCTGCGGAGCCCGGTAAGCACAAGGGTTGCCAGGCGGGACGCCGCCCACCCCTGGGTTTCAAATGGTGCCTCTGCATTGAGTCGGACAGCTCGGGATTTTTGCCTCCTGGCCGGGAAAAATCAGCACGTACCAGACATTTCAGGGGTCTGGAATTTAATGAATTTTTTACCGGACAGGAGGCGAAAATAGCGGACTGTCCGGTTCAATACCGGACACCTGGCAACCCTAGCGGAACACTCGGGCGTGGTTTGTGTGGGGCAGGCGCCGGGGGGATCGCGAGTTTCCTGGCGGATGGGCTATGTGACGAGAGGTTCTGCTGGTGCCACAGGAACAGGCGGGGAGGCTGGGAGACCCCACCCTCCCAGAGAGGGCGCCTACCAAGGGGGCTGCCTGGGCCCCACGTCCGTTCCAGGAGCTTGCTAGAAAGTAGAGAAGCGGGACCGTGCCACCCGCCCTCGGCCTCTTCCCCGCATCTCAGCCCCCGGAAAGTCGTCTGCCGACAGACACTGAGCGGAGGAGACCGGCCCCCGGCCGAGGGGAATCCAGGCTGAATGTGAGACCTGGGAGCAGCGGTAACACCGGCTGGGGGAGAGGCAGCCGGAGCCCAGCCCTGCCGCGTTCGGGCAGCCCATTTCGTTTTCTTCCTTAGGCGCAAACTTGGCTCTGAAGCCGGTTCTTGCGATCACTCCCCACCTCTGCTAACAAGCCTGTTTTACATGTTGCCTAACCCAGGGCAGCGTTGGCCGAAGGTCTCGGGGATCCCAGCTTGGGGGCACTGGACGTCCACTAGGCTCTGGTCTGGGCAGTGAATGAATTAGCGGGTTTGCCCAGTGCGAGGGAACCGTGCTTTGTGTCAGCATCTCTCTGGGCTGCACGGCCGGGGTCGGGGCTGGCTGCCTGGGGCCGATCACTACACAACTCCGGAGCGGCTCAGGCTGGTGGGCCTGTGGTCCGGGCTTTGCTCGGCGCTGGCACAGTGAGGCACACTGGGCTGGAGAAGTAAGAGCACACAGCAGCCCTGCGGCTCCACCTCCTACCCCAGGGTCCTGCCACCGTTCCCCTCTCACGCCCTGGTGTAAATCCATTTGCCCCGTTGGGCCAACTCCCCACTCAGTCCCTGGTGTAAATCTGGAGTAACCCTCCTGAAATCTGTTATGCCGATGGCAACCCAGGGTCAGAGCAGGGCACCCGTGGGCTGAGAACCCCGTCAGGAGCCACCCCTCTGGGGCAGTGTTTCGGGGTGCAGCTGCGGGGCTGATTAGGTTTGGGGAGCCCCCCTCACCTTGATGTAGTCTTTGCAGGTCCGCTCTCGCTTGTGCATCTGAAGGGGCCAGGCAGCGGCACATGGAGCAGGGGGGACACAGGGAACAGAAAAGAAGGAAAAGTCAGGGCCAGATCCCAGTGCCGAGGGCCTGAACTTTGATCCTCCGGATACGTTCCCACCTTGAAGCCAAATCCGCATGGCCTGCCTCAGGTCCCTGCTAGCCCCGGCCTCAGTCACAGAAGCAGGGTGACAGCCACTGGATAACTAGCTGATAACTAGCCAATAACCGTTGGGGAACTAACTCAAT